TTTCTATTTTCTATTTTATATTTGTACTAGTAAATTTATTTCAATAAATTAGCGTACATATTTTATTATTTAGAGAGAGTTTTTTATTGCTAAATAAATTCAATACAAATGAAATGTACAATGTTTAATCTAGTTATTATTAATATAAAATATTATAATCCGACTAATATAATAATGTTGATGTATGAATTTAAGACCAAGAAGCACCAACAAAATCATGAATTAACCTTAAATTAAAATAAGTATATAAGATGATAGTCTAATCATGAAAGAGACCATAAATACAAGTTAAAGCAATGCATTATGATCAAGTTTCCGGTTGCTTTCAGATGAGAAAAATTGAGATGACAATTTTATATCAGTTAAGAAATTACTAGACTAAAAAAATCTAAAAATAAAAAATTTTCAAATCAGACCAAAAAGTTCAATTTTATATGATAAAATTCTCGTTTCCCATAAGATCTAATAACTTTTCAAAATATTTTATTTAAAAAATACATCTTAGGTATGAAAATAGTTTAATTTCTTTTACTATTCTTATTTTTTAGTTTTTATTTTATGATAAATAGTATTTTTTTGTGATAAAAGTCCTAAGTTAATGATATTATTGATACAAAATAAAGTTCAATGACTTTTCTCTAAAAATTCTTATAGTTGTGTGATATTTTGAGATATTAACTCCAATTTATTAAGATGACAATTATTCATCCTAAAGTAATTTAAGTGAGTGTATCGACTTGTTCCCGTCATTATAGAAAAGCCAATGGGGAAAATTTTTGGACCGAAAAACTTTTTGGTAGTATCATGAAATTTCCCAACCTAGTCCAGATTTGGACGAAATCGGAGTCAGTGAGGACTAGGGAAATCTGGTAACAAATGGGAGGTCTAATTGTGAATTTGATTATATGAGTAGGTATCTAAGATGTTAAGGAACCCGTACGACTTTACAAAATTAAATTCAGGCGAGTAGAACTCCCAAAAATGATCTTAGCGTGAACGGATATTTTTTGAGTGTCGTGAGATGAAGGTGTGTTTTGAAATGGGGGTTTGAGAATTTTTTATTTAGCTCTTTGTTCCGTGCAAGCCTCTATGGTGGGATTTGTGCCGCCAGAGCGGGGCCGCTGCAGCGGGGTGAGGACCGTTGTGGCGGGACATACACGACTCAAGTCGGAGATAAACCCCAAATGCCATTATTGTGCACTTTTCGATTTTGAGAGCTAAGGAACGACCACTGGTGTTTTCTTGACAATTTTTCACCATTCTTGAAGCTAAAGGTAAGGTTTTCACGTCCCGAAGATCAGTAGAACTTAGTTTCTTGGATAATTATCGATGTGGGAGGATTTTGATCGGGGATTTATGGTGGGAAAAGCCCTAATCTGGGTATGGGGATCAAGGGTTTGACCTAGCGTTAATTTTATTGATCATAATCCGAGAATTTGGGTTTTTTTTATTGATCCTCACATTATTATGATTGTTTGTACATCAAGATTAAGTGGAAAAATTCTGAAAAGGAAGAATCAAGTTTCTTAGGGGATTCAAGATTTGTTTGAGGTAGGTGATGATTGTGATTTCATGTTTGTGTGATATATGTTTGTAATTGCTTCATTGTATTGCATGTATGTATGTATTCAAATGTTGCATTATTGATCACACTAATTTGTAAATGAGTATGAACAATAACTATATGCCATGAATCACCTTTTAGTTGCATGATTGTGAGAATGTACATTGTGATTGTGATTGTGATTGTGATTGTGGTATGTTGAATGGTGCAGGTGTCACGTTCCGACACACTAACTGGGATCGGATGTTACGTACCGACATGAATATTGGAACGGGTGTCACGCTACGACACACTAACTTGTAACGGGTGCCACGATCCGGTACATTAACTATTTGGGTTTGGGTTCCATGAGAGGAACAATGATTTGTTATGCACGCACTTATTGTTGAGAATGTGGAATTGTACATTGATCCTGAAATGATATTGATGTTGTATATGTTCAGTGTATGCATGTTTATGATGTTGTAATGACCTGCTTATGTTGCCTTAATTGGGATAGCCGCGTGATCCTACCAGTACACTGTGGTTTGTGTAGTGATACTGCACTTGCTCGTTCTTTGTTGAGTACATGGCATCTTCAGGCGGTTACTGGTAGACCTCAACTAGGGGATCTTGATCCCAATTATAGTGGATAGACTCATCCACTACAAGATCTCTACTAACAAACACCTTCTTACTACTAACATTGTACACTTTGTTTCCTTTTGCAACTGTACTATAGCCCAACAGAACACACGGTTCTGCCTTGCTATCTAATTTACCTCTTTTAGCATCAGGAACATGTGCATAGCATACCAAACAAAATACATTCAAGTGTCTTGCAGACAACTTGATACCCTTCCATGCTTCAAATGGTGTCATGTTTTGGACTGCTCTAGTTGGTAATCTATTTAGCAAATAGACAGTGGTATTTACTGCTTCAACCCAAAAGTATTTAGGCATGTTCTTTTCTGCCAACATGCATCTCGCCATCTCCATCACAGTTCTGTTCTTTCTCTTAGAAACCCCGTTCTGCTGTGGAGTGTAGCTAACAGTGAATTGTTGTTGGATACCCAAATCTTTACAATACTTGCTGAACTGATATGAAGTATATTCAGTTCCATTATCGGATCTAATATACTTCAATTTACAGCCACTCTCCCTTTCTACCATAGCTTTGAATTATTTGAAAATAGAAAACACTTGATATTTGCTACTAAGAAAGTAGACCCATGTCATTCGAGTCAGATCATCTACAAAGAGAACAAAATACTTATTTCCACTCAAAGAAGCCGTCCTCATTGGTCCATCTGGATGAACCAACTTTAGATTTTCCTTAGCTCTCCAAAGACTTCCTTTAGGAAAGGATCGTCTATGCAATTTACCAAATTGACATGACTCACAAATATCTCTACACATGTCAATTTTGTGTACTTCAAGCACCATACCCTTTGATTGCATATACATCAGTGAGCTAAGATTATAATGACCAAACCTTTTGTGCCAAAGCCAAGTATCGCTCAATTCAACATTAAAAGAGCAAGTATCAATAAAATAGCATGAAATTGGAAAGGAATTGTCAATCATGCTAATTTTAGCTACTTCACATCCTTTAGGATCATAAATGACACATTGTTTATCCTTAAAATTAAGAGAATAATTTTTATGAAGCAATTGAGAAACACTTAACAAGTTTTGAGTCAAATTTGGCACATAAAGAACATCATTAATAATTTTCGTACCTTCTTCAGTAGGAAGTTTTAATGACCCTCTTCCGTAAACTTCCACCAAAGCACCATTTCCAAGCTTCACTTTGGTTCTATCAGATCTATCCAAGGTAACAAACATATTTTCATCAATCGCCATGTGCCTTGTGCACGCGCTATCAACATACCATTTACATTGGTCAATATGTGATGTGTGCGAGGCCATGAAAACCTCCTCCTCTGATTTTCCAACTTGGTGATCATCTGCGAAATTCACTCGATGGGAAGACTGGCCACTTTGATTTTGATTTTGCCTACAATACTTCTCAATGTGACCATACTTCTTACAATATCTACATTGAATTGGAGACCTCTTTGAATTATTGCAACAATTCTTCTTTAAGTGGTTTGTCTTCTTTCAAATGCCACAAGGTGGAAATTTTCCTTATATCGACAAATCACCTTGGTTTCCACCAGATTTTACCTCTCCAGATTTATCCAACCAGACTTTTCTACTTTTCTTTTGATGTTTTCATTTATGCCTCACTTGAAAGGGATCATTTACTATCCCTTCACTTCTCATAGTGACCGTTGCTCTTGGACTTGCAATTTGGAGATTAGTTCGGCTATTGTAAGAGTAGTCAAGTCACAAGACTCATCAATAACTGAGATTTTTGATTAAAACTTTTCTGGAAGGCTGACCAATATCTTTTCTACAACTTTCTGATCTGGAAAGGTTTCACCAAGTATTCTTATTTGGTTCACAATCTCCATCAGCTTTGAAGAGTATTCTTTCACACTATCTGAGTCTTTCATCTTCAAAAGCTCAAACTCTCTCTTCAATGCTAAGAGTCTAACAGACTTTACTTTACTGCAGCCTTTAAACTCTTCCTTTAACTTATACCATGCCTCTTTGGCTGTTTCACAAGTCATAATCCTCGTAAACATCACGTCTGTAAGACTTGAATGTATGCAGGTGAGAGCTCGTGGGGATCTTGTCACCAACTCATCATACTTCTTAATTTCATTGAGAGTTACATTAACTCTCAATGGCTGGACAACAAGTTCTCCAAGCTCAACAACTTCCTATAAGTTGAGAGCGTTTAGATAAGTCTTCATTTTGATGATCCATATGTGATAATTCTCTCCGGTAAAAGTTGGAGGACCCATCGTTGGTTGATTTTCAGGTGGTATGAATTTTTTTCAGCAAGCAAATTCAAGAAAGAACAGAAAGTAGATGAGCGAAACAAACAAAATTTGATTCAGATCCCTTAGGAAATAGGCTTTGATACCATGTTACAACGAAAAGGAAGAAGAACTTTAGGTCTACAAGGTGTAAACAGTAGGAAATAGCAGTTGTAAATTGCTACAGAAAATCTGAAAGTGAAGAAGAACGCTTAAGTTTTCTTGAGTTCAATTTTTTTTCACTCGATGTTTCATTACATATGGTGTATTTATAGATAAAGTGTGAGAATTACAACCACATAATAAGCAAAATATCTCACACCAAACTATGTACCTATGTGGCTCACTAACCACCATTCATTTTAAATCAAGACTAACATATCTACTACAAAATATCTCCAACCTAGGAGTTTCTAGACAATTCTTACTTTTCTAACATATCTAATACAAAATATCTCCAACTTAGGAGTTTCTAGACAAAATCTTACTTTTCTAACATATCTAATACAAAATATCTCCAATCTAGGAGTTTCTAGACAAATCTTAATTTTCTAACAAACCACGACTGTTACATACTGTGTTATGATCACCTCATTTCCCTATTTAGACTCTAAAGTTCTTTCCAACAAATATCTGACCAAATTGCCAATGTGATGGGGCTATGTTCCACGAGGTAGATTTGTGTTTATCGCTAGTTGTGACCCTGAATGACAATGAATGACCAACCAAAACGGAGTTGGTTTGCCAGTTCTGACCCCAATTACGACTCAACATTATCCAGTTAGTCCTCGTACCCTTCAACATAATCTTCGTAATGTCACCTGCACCCGCGACATTCGTGACTAAAACCAAGTTGAAGTAACTAAAACCATTGATAGTGAACCTTATTCCACCTTGCTTCCTACATGGCACCCTGCATAAAAAAATTACAAATGACTTTTAACTTCTACACGCTGACACTATAAAAGAACTTTTACACTATCGCGTTTACTCTCAAGTGTGAAAGTAAATTGTACCTAATGTGAACATGTATACATGGTCATTGTGTTGTAGAATTTAAATCCTATGTTACCATGAAACATGGACCGTTAATTGTTGGAATTCAACCTTCTTCTCCACCATCTTCTCAACCATTGATAGCATGTTCTAATTTCACTAGAGAGAAGATAAATATGTCTTATCATGTCTTGTTTGAGAAAAGCAAATGGGCCAAGAGTGATATTGGGTCACAGAAGAAGACACGGCTAGGCTCATCTTGGAATTAGATAAATAATGTATAGGTTAAGATTTATTTAATTTTCCACACTTGTATAAATAGAGGATTCTTTACGCAGTAAATACACACGAGAAAATTTTCTATACGACCTTCAATTTTTACATGGTATAAGAGCGGTCAGAATTTTCTATTATTCTAATTCACATCAATGGGCGACAATTCAACCCTAGCTACTACTGCTGCCAGTATCATAGCTTCAATTGATTCAAATCATCCTCTCTATCTTCATGCTTCTAATAATCTTGGACTGACCTTGGTTAATAGTCTATTTGATGGTAAAGGCTATCAGGGGTGGAAGAGATCCTTAATCATAGCACTATCGGCAAAGAATAAAGTGGGTTTTATCAATGGTACTCTTGTCATTCCAACATCAGGTTCTTCAGATCTGCAACCTTGGTATAGAGCCAACGACATGGTGACTTCCTGGCTCTTGAATTCTCTGTCAAAAGAAATTGCTAATAGTGTCATCTATTCAAGAACGACTCATGAACTATGGACTAGCTTGGAGCACAGGTTTGGCCAGACCAATGGTGCAAAGTTGTTTCATCTACAGAAGGAGTTGAGTAGGTCATCACAAGGAACAAATAATATTTCTGCATATTTTACCAAACTGAAGAAGTTGTGGGATGACCTTGATTCCATCAACTCGAGTGTTAAGTGCATTTGTGTGTGCTCTTGTGAAGGAAAACATAAACTCCAAAAATCTTTGGAAGATGAAAGACTTATGTAGTTTCTCATGGGTTTAAATGACACTTATGCACAGACTAGGGGGAATATTTTGATGGTAAACCCCTTACCAAGTATCAACCATGCCTACTCTTTTAGTTTACAAGTTGAGAATCAGAGAGAGACTTATCTCATTCCTCATCTTTCATCTGATTCTTCTTCTTCTTTCATGGTGGGTAATACCAATCAATACAAACATGGAAAGCAGGCACAAAGGTATCCAACACCTTCATAGAGATCTGGGATCTCACAATCAAGAAATATCACTTCCCAAGAGCCACAAAGGTTCCAGAAACAACAAATCAATTTCAGAAATTCAAAGGAAAAAGGGCTAAGTATGATCCTAATGTTACCTGCACATATTATGGAAAAACAGGCCATGTAGAGGACAATTGTTTTAGAAAAATAGGTTTTCCAGAAGACTTTGTGTTCACAAATAATAAAGGAATGCAGGGACAAATCAGGGGAAATTGAGCATTGATTACCGAAGACAATGAAGGAAGAAACAATGATCAAACATATGCCACAAATGTTGCTCACAATTACAACAAAGAACAATACAATTAATTTCTTCATATGTTTAGACAAATGAAAATGGAGGAGGCATCACAGAAAAACACAGGCTCAGAGATCAACAGTAATGTTGTGGCTGGTACAATTTCAAAGTATCTTGGATCCTGTTTTTCTGTTATTGATTCTAGCACCTGGATCATTGATTCATGTGCATATGAACACGTGTTATAATCCCCAATGTTTTACCTCCATGTCCCCTCTTCAATTCCCTTTGACCATTAATCTTCCTAATTGTCAAACCATTTAAGTCACTCATTCAGGGACTGTGCCTATATTTTCTGATATCATTTTACAAAACGTTTTGTATGTTCCCAGTTTCAAGTTCAATCTCATATCTGTTCATAAATTCTGTGTTCAATTTCCTTACACACTATTTTTTACATGACATGAATGAGTGTTTCAGGACTCTTCAATGAGGAGGGGTCAAGTTTTTTGTGAAGCCAAGGAGGGTCTCTACTTGCTACAACCTAGTCCTCAGAAGTGTAGTTCTTTTTTTAGCAATAATGTTTCAGTTTCACCACATACTATATTTAGTGGATCTAGTCCTTTATCTTTACCTATTTCAGTTCTTGTTGAATCAGTTTCAGTTTCTCATTCTGTATATACAAGTGCAACTTCTAATGTAAAATTGTGGCATATTAGATTGGGGAATTTGCCTTACTCTTCAATGAAAAATGTCAGTTTCCTTTCTTTTTCGAGTAATTATGACTGTGTTTGTGATGTGTGTCCTAAATCTAGGCAATCCAGGCTACCCTTTCCCATTAGTCAAATTTCTAGCAAATCTATTTTTGATCTTATCCATGTTGATACTTGGGGACCTTATAAACTAGCTACTCATAATCATTATAGGTATTTTTTGACTATTGTTGATGGTTTTAGTAGAGCTACTTCGACTTGTTGGCTACAAAGAGCAATGCATTCACAGTCTTGCAAAGTTATTTACAAATGGTGGAAAGACAGTTCAATGCGAAGGTTAAAGTCATTAGATCGGATAATGCCTTAGAACTAGGAAAGAGTGAAGCAAGTTCTCAATTCTTTAGTTCTCATGGGATTGTGCATCAGACCTCTTGTGTGGCCACTCCACAATAAAATGGGATAGTGGAGAGAAAATACAAACACTTACTAGAGCTTGCAAGGGCTTTAATATTTCAATCTCATGTTCCTATCGTTTACTGGGGAGTGTCCATCCTTACAACCACTTATTTGATTAACAGGTTACCTTCTAAGGTGCTAAAAGGAAAAAATACCTTATGACATCATATTCGGGAAGTGACCATCTTATCATACTTTGAAGTGTTTTGGATGTTTATGCTATGCTAACACTTTAACTCATTGCAGGGATAAGTTTCAACCTAGACCTATGAAGTGTGTTTTCCTAGGTTATCCTAGTGATAAAAAAAGGTACAAGTTACTGAATCTTGAAAGTAAAAGGATATTTGTATCCAAAGATGTTCATTTCTTTGAGCATATTTTTCCCTTTGTAGATAAATCTGATGACATTCCTTCTTCTATATTTCCAGATTATGCCAATTTATCTACTGATCAGCCTGGTTCTCAAACTGATCTGATTCCTCATACCATTCCATCTACTAGTTCCTCTTCTTCACCATATCATCCATTCACTTCATCATCACCTGATTCAACTCATACTCAGATTTCCCCTCGGTTCAACTCACTCTCATATTTCATCCCCTGATCCTCCCATTAATAATCCCTGAAGATCTCACAGAATAAAGGTACTTTACCGTCATATCTTCAAGATTATTATTGCAACACCATTTTTTTAGTGATGTGACAAACTCCTATTTTGACACTCCTACTAAACCTAGTGTTATTTCTTTTAATGCTCTTTCTCTTTCTAATAAATCCATCATACAATTAGTTTCTACAATCACTGAGCCCACCAGTTATAAAGAAGCTTTTACTCATCCAGGTTGGAGGAAGGCTATGGATGATGAAATGGAGGCTTTACAAGCAAATCATATATGGGACTTAGTTGCTTTACCTCTGGGTAGACAAGCTTTACCTTGCAAGTGGGTTTACAAGGTGAAGCAACATGCTGATGGGACACTTGAGAGGCTGAAAGCAAGGTTGGTGATCAGGGGTGATATAAAGAAAGAGGGGATAGATTTCAACACTACTAGAAAATAGGTCTGTTGCAACACAAGAAAATTCATTGCCATAGACTCAAAGACTGTTGCAATTGCATTATGGCAACGGAAGATGGTGTGTTGCATATAAGCCTGTTGCGATATGTCTATAGTAACGGTTTTATGGCAACAGTTGTAAACCATTGCAATACACTATGTATAGCAACAATTATTCTTTAGTCTAGGCCGACACTATTCTATGGTTGCTATAACGGCTGCGTTTCGTTGCAAATGATATATCGCAACAACTTTACTGTACACAACGGTTTTGCTAAACTATTGCAACAATGTTATTAAGCTATTGCAATAGACTTTTTTAATGGTTATTGCAGGCTATTGTAGGCACTGTGTATATTCTTTATTTTTGAGATAAACTATAATACAATGATAGAAAATATTAAATCAATATGTACTTCAACTAGTAGCATCCACATATCAAAGATAAAAACACATGATCTTGATTTACAATTCAAGAGTTAACATACATGAGGTTCACAAACATTAAGCCAAACATAAAAATAGTCCTATAATGTTCAAGAGTTGGCATTCATTTAAGTTCACAAAAATTAGGCCAAAAAGTGAAAATAGTGCTAGAATGTTTGTAGATATATTGATAAACCAATTCTCTTTAAGTAACGTTTTCACTGCTTTCATCCCCACTTTGCTCATTTTGTTCACCTACAATTTCAAAGGGGTCAACAATTCGGAAAGAGGAAGTTCAAAAATGAAAAGGGAAAAGAAGACACACAACTCCTAATTTTTACTCTTTCTGGACATAACCTATACTACCACATCACTTTTTTTAAAAAAGAAAAATGCAAAGTTACTGATATTGTAGTTTGGAAGGGAGCAGAGAATTACAATAATGTGGACTTACCAAAGGAGGACAAACTGTACAAGAACAACGAGTAGATTAAAGATAAAAGGGGCCATGATGAAAATAACTCACAGAAACCAAGACTCTAAGTGATAGTACTAACATAGAGAAGCTCTAACTGTTCATGAGGAGGAGCCAAACCTATCAGGAAACAACTTGAAAAATATAGCTATAACAGTGTACATGGATGAGGACAATTTAGCAGCCAGTAAACACTTAGAAGAATTAGCACCAGGTGAAGAAGCTGAGAGGGAACAACCAAGTCAGAACAAATCAGTTAGCTGACTACATTACAAGCATTGCACTTGAAC